CAGAGGAGGGAGAGGAGGGAGAGGAGGGAGAGGAGGGAGAGGAGGGAGAGGAGGGAGAGGAGGGAGAGGAGGGAGAGGAGGGAGAGGAGGGAGAGGAGGGAGAGGAGGGAGAGGAGGGAGAGGAGGGAGAGGAGGGAGAGGAGGGAGAGGAGGGAGAGGAGGGAGAGGAGGGAGAGGAAAGGGAGAGGAAAGGGAGAGGAAAGGGAGAGGAGGGAGAGGAGGGAGAGGAGGGAGAGGAGGGAGAGGAAAGGGAGAGGAAAGGGAGAGGAAAGGGAGAGGAAAGGGAAGAGGGACGCGAGGGCGAAGAGCACGTTAATGTTGCTTGTATTGCCGTGTTTGTCTTTTCCAACAACAAAGCTGAGGATCTTCCCAACGCATCCCAGAAAACATGACAACGTGAAGCAGCAAGCATAGAACATCGGTCAAAACGTCGTAACAAACATAGAACCTTGCTGCAGCACCCTCAAGCGCACCCACTATAACTAAGACGATTCCCCTTTGGGGCAAGCCGATAAACGCGTAGCGTGTGGTTTATCACCCACTCCCGCCGGGGGAACTCGCAGAGTCGGCCGTACCGGCCGTACCATCCAACCGATGACGCAGAATAATCACTTTGAAGAGTGCGTGAGAGCTCACACATGCCATTGGTCTCGCTGCGCTTTATCCTATGTGTGTGCTTATGTTTGTTTCTCTGTGTGTATGTCTGGATATCTCCTTTGTTTGTTTGTTTGTTTGTTTGTTTGTCTGTTTGTTTGTTTGTTTGTTTGTTTGTTTGTTTGTCCCAGGTAATTCCAAAAGCATGTATAAGGACTTGGAAGCCTCAAGGTGTGCGCTTCTTACAGTGGTTGTGCTAGGTTGGTGATTGTCAGCTTGCGGAGGGCTCCTATTGCTCCTCGGGGTGGCGCCGCAGGGAGACAGCGTGTCGTCGGCCGCTGCAGCCCGCCATCCCCCTTTCAGGGCTAGGCTAAGGAAGCCCGACTGTGTGAGAGCCTAAGGAACCCGCGTCGTTCAGCTGGGTCGCTGCTGGCACACAGAAATGATCTTAACCCTGGGCGAGCTGGATTTAAATTTGACTGCGTTGGTATTTACAAAAGATTGTGCATCACCATGACTTGTATGCCGGCGTGTAGGCTTTCCCTTTCCCTTGCCCGTGTGTCATACCTTTTACATACGCCAGCGCGCGAGAGCCGTATTGAGTTCATTGGCAAAGTTAAGCTTCCGTAATTCAACTTCAGTTGGAGGGCAGGGAAGTATAGAAATACCTAGATAGCTAGGTAATAGTGATGTGAGAACAGCGGCAGGTATGGGCGAAACAGGGCGAAAGTTTTCGCTGGGCCGTTTCTTGAACCTATTTTACTTTTCGTCCCGGAAAAGGGATCACTGAGAACTTTTTCCAACAAAGCCTGAGGTCTCTGGTTGAGGCTATATCGCAGGTGGATATTTGATTGGTATTCATCGCGTTGCTTCGGCAGTGCATAGGAGCAAGTTTCGGAGTCTCGCCTTCGATATCGCCTTGCACAGTTTCCTATTTTGTTGATGCTGAACTTTTACATGATGATTTACGTATCTTTACTGCAAATACTCATGGCAAGCAACCGGCCACAACGGAGGCAATAGACAAGCTATCCGTCCGTATCAGTAGCAAACGACGCGTTGGTCGCGCAGATATGACCGTTCGTTTGCGTGTTGTTGCCGAACTAATTTGTTTACATACGTTGCCTTCGGTTGCGTCGAAGCAATAATGACACAGGTGAAGTGAAAGATGTTTACGACTTGATGTCCGATGAGTTCATCCACCGGAAGTTGGTAATCGATGGTCACCTGCCAAACCTTCCAGGTTTGTTTCTTTGAAGCCAATCGCAAACAGTTGAACGCGTGTTGCACATGTTTGCAGGTTGTAAGTTGTGGCGACAAGGATAGGAGAAGCCGAACAAGCCAAGACCCAGGCAAGCGCGAAATCCCAGTCAAGGAAAAAAACACAACCGTCTAAAAAAGACTGCATGCCTGTTTAAACCTTTAAGTAAATCATTCTACGAAGCAAAGCTAGCACCGCGTTGTCGACGAATCCTAGTCTGTGAAGCTGTGATGGCCGACGAGGGCCCCAGCTGCCGATGAACGTGCGGATCTAGATCTCGATAGAGCGCTTGCTAAAATGTTTCTCTCCTGTGAAAATACTATGAGCACATAGTTTAATAATCGCTTACATTGTCAGTCGCGTTTTATTGTCTCAGCGACAGCAAGTTGGTGCTTCTTCATACTTCAAACGTGCTCGGAAATGTTTTCCCTCTGCGGACTTGCGCATGACATCCACCTTCCCGAGTGCACACCCAAAAGAACACCTCGGGCGCATCCTCCTTCATCACATCACAGCAGATCCCTGCGGTCTGTCAAAGGTGTTGAGGCAACGGCAGAGGAGCCTTCGTAACAGCGTCGATGCCTAGCCAGTGCTCCCCCGAACACAACCGACGTCTGGGCATAAGCCGTCTGGGCTTAGTTCGCGAATGAAGCGCGCGATCGAGTAATAAAACACTGGTTAAAACTTGAAGATGGAATACCTCGATTCTAAACCGTTTGCGGCGCCGCTCAGCGGCGCGTGCGGGCAAGCCGTTGCTCGCCGTGCCGTACCTCCTCTATCGTCGCGCTTTTCTTGCAGTACGTGCTTTTGTCGCATGCACGTAAACATCCCGCTACACTAAACTAGGCTATATAGGTAATATACCGCAATTAGCACTGGAGCAATAAAAATTGATTCCTTCATGAAAGTGGCTAGGTTTAAGTTGCGGTCCAGAAGAGTCCAGACTATTACTCGTAGCGAGCGCGATCCGAGCAGACAGACGACTAAATGAGAACCTTGGCTGCATCCACGCTGGAATCGCATAATTGCCGTTTGACCTGTGGATGAACCCTTTGGACGGTCGCGACCGGGCAGTTGTTGGCGAATCCTTGCGGGGTCGCGGCCTGTCGCGGTTGTCCGTTAATTGCCTTCCCAAGTCTCATCAAGCAATCGCAAGCCTTAGGCAGATTTTTTTAGCTGCGCGCTTACGGCTGTGGAGAGCCTTCAGGGGGTGAAAGCGGAGGTCAAAGAGGGCCTCGTAGAACGAGCGTGAGGACGTGTTGTCCTTTTGATGATGGAGCCTTCGTGAAGTGATGTGCGCCGGGAATAAGCCGCGTCCACGGCGCGATTTTCAACGAACACGAGCGAATACGCCATTTCTTTGGGACGAGGCAACTGATCCCAAACCGGCGAGAAGATTGAGCCGAAGATCTACGAACCGCTGAAGCCACCATACAAGTTTCGCATACATTTTACGGTTGGGTACGCACAAAAAAAGCGTTTGCTGCGCTGTAAAGGCTTCCAAATGAATTCTTAAAACATGTTTCCTGGACGGAATGAAAGAGTTTCTGGCCCGGCAGTTGGGGTGAGGTACGATCCAACGGATGGGAGCGAATCAGGCTAAGGTACAAAGCAGTCATGGCAAGGTAAACAATCCTATGATCATAATGGGCGGTATCTTCGCTTTGCGGTCACATACCGTTTGGTTGCCACAGATTGAAAGAAGTACAGGACCTTCAGCCCTGGCCAAAATGTTTTTCGTTGAAAGAAGACATGTTTAGGTATTAGTTTTTCTGCTGGTAGATAGCCTAATGTGTGATACAAATTCAGAAAGCGAGAGGCAGGGTTAGTATGTGCCAACCGTCGAACCATCATGCCGCTTGAACGACGCGCTAATACGTTGCATACTTATGGCATAGAGATTGACTTTCATTAAATATAGGCGAACAACGCTTGCATGTCATATTAGCTTGTGTACCCTGGAAGTGCCATTCATGAAACTTGCCATACAGAGCGATACCTATGACGTAAGGTACAAATGTATACAGGCGTGCAACCGTTATCAAATTGCTTTGGTGATTCAGCCCGTTGTAGTCACACGAGGAAGCCGAGACTACTTCGCACCGCATCAGCATAGGCACGGAACAAATGGAAAACACTAATCATGTACTTTAAAGTTAAGTCTTTCAGTTGCGAGACGTTGTGCTCAACTCCTGTCAAGTTGGCCTGTTTGCCGGCGACTTAGCTCCCGAGCTACGATTTCCGTACGGAGGAGAGCATCCAGTCAATCACGACTGCATGCAATTTGATCTTAAAAATAGAAAGTTCTGGAATGTGAAGTCAAGGTGAGAGCAGCGTTAAGGACCAATATTGAATTGCTGGTTGGGCCGTACGTCTGCTTCAACACTGTCCGAGGAGCGCACATAATGCTGCAAAATATGTCCTATTTGGGTGGGGCTTCAAAGATGCATCAGAAAGTGTCTAAGCGACGGTCCCTATTTGTCCTCTGCTGGCGAGGCTGTGCCGTAAACTGGGTGCGCGAAGGCGGGCCGCCCCTGGAGCGGCAATGATGTTTAACTATGCTGGGTTGTGAGAAGGTAGATCATCATACATGAGTTCTGAACATTGAACTCGTGTGTGGGGTGAGTTTATTTGGAGGACAGTGTTGAGTACTTAGCTGAAGTGGTGACTTCATTGCGAAGGAGGCTGTCCACCTCTCTTGCTGGATTCTCGTCACCAGGTATTGTATCATATTAGTATTTTTATAACACTGGTGTCGCACCTCTGGGCTTTGGTTTATTGAAGTTTGCCGAAAGGTGTGCGCGGAACCCAGGGACTCGAACATCCGCCTACAGCAGCACGCCTTCCGCCCGAGCGACGCCTTAGTGCATCTGCAGTTGTGCATTTCCATCGCAATCAAAAGCAAGAAACACTTGTAATTTTAAAACCTCTGTCCCGCAGGAACGAAACCCCGCTTCGATTCAATCCTTCGTCGTGCCTGGCTGAGCGCTCAACACCGCTGAGCCATCAGCCAACATGAAGATAAATATTCAACTACGAAATATTCTCCTGGCTGCGCTGCTCTGCAGCGCGCTCTCGGGTCTTGCTGCAGAGGAATGGTCCGAGCCACCGGTCGCACTCGACGCGGAGGGAGAATCTTCTAGAGACGCTTCATTTTTGCCGGCTCCATCCGAGCCTGATAGCCCTTCCACTCCGGATGGACAAACAGGTGTTGGACTGGCTTCCGACGCCCCCCCACCTAGAAGCCGGCCCCCGCGGTCGCCAGCACCGCCTAGGCCACCCCCGGTCTCTCGGCCTCCTTCCCCCATTCGCTCGCCCAGGCCTCCTCCGAACCCCCGGCGTCCTCCCTCTCCCCGACCGCCGTCTCCTCTTCCCCCCTCCCCTCCTCCATCACCGCCAAGCCCACCTCCATCACCGCCTCCCTCCCCTCCCCCTTCGCCTCCTCCTCCTCCACCCCCACCCCCACCGCCACCGCTTCCCCCACCCCCACCGCCACCGCCTCCCCCATCGCCACCGCCACCGCCTCCGCCATCGCCACCCCCTCCATCCCCTCCCCCGCCTTCACCCTCACCTCCACCCCCACCTCCACCTCTTGCCACCAACGCCGTCCTGGAGACTGACTTCAGATTTTCCGTTTGCGACGCGCGTAACGCCAGCCTCACGCCGTACCGTCTGTCGAGTCCTGGAAACCCTGTCAGTGTGAATGGAAGCTTCGCGACGTACTGCTTTACCATCACTGCGGATGCCTTGGTGCAAGGCTCTAGCAGCTCATGCGCCAAGATGCAGATTAACAAGATTGACTTCATAATTAGTGAGTCCGCTGCGGGGCACTGCGGAACCCCGATTAGCACCTAGTGCAACACATGTGGGAACTTGAACAGCACGTAATTACGTGTTACGATGTTAGCCCCTTAAACCTGTGCAACTGTATATTACTTAGCATTTAGCTGCCACGTCCTTTTTTTGGAGTTGCGCCGTTGCGTCTAAGGCTCGGGTTTGAATACATACATACTTACTTACGTACACAAAGACATGCATCAGTCTACTCGGTTGTATATGGGGTGAAGATATGACTGCATGTTGGCAAAACGGTTGCGACAAGTTGGATGGGGTGTGTTTCCTCCGATATTATATACACGTTATGACCACGGAACGACCTTCCTTGATTTGGCATATGGTGTTGAAGTCCCGGCTTTAGTGTTGCAGTTATGTAGAAGCACAAGACTCACTCCTATATTTATAACATGCCTAACTCCTATATTTATAACATGCCTAACTCCTATATTTATAATATGTCTAAGTCCTATATTTATAACATTTATAAGATGTAGCCTGAGGAGTTCGGAACATCTCTAAGTTTGCAGAAATGATATCTGTATCCACAGATTACATGTAGATTACATTCTCTGGGACAAAATGTCTTTCTTTTATTATCTCTTTGCTTCTTTCCTGATATAGTTCCTTTTCTTACGATGTGAACCTTCTTCCCCCTCCTTTGCTTTTGTTCCCTTTCACACTTTAGACACGGCTTGTGTTGCCGAAGTCCCCAAGGCCATCCGTAACGCCATCGTTAACGGAACCGTTGTGTCTTCATTCCGTTTCGAGACGAAGACCTTCGACGGCAACCCGTACGGCATGCTCGCCGTCAGCGGCCTCAAGGACTTCACCGCCGGTTTGCTTGCCGGCAACCCGCTTCAGCTCTGCCTGGTGATGCGGAGGTCTAGCATCTGCGGCACCCCGCAAACTCTGTGCTACGGTACTAGCTGCGTATATACCATGTACAACGAGGACCGCAGCTGCTGCCCCGTCAGCCAGGTTTCGTTTTTCGCGCCGCCGCCTCCACCGCCGTCTCCGCCGCCGCCGTCGCCACCGCCGCCACCGCCGCCACCGTCGCCGCCGCCGCCATTGTCGCCATCGTCGCCAAGCTTAGCTCCGAGTTTCGGCCGCAACTACACGTTCCCGTACGGATGCCCGAATTACAACAGCACCCTGTCGCCGTACCGCTTGTCGTTGCCGATGGGGCCCTTCAACGATTCAGCACCCGTCGTAACGTACTGCTTCATGGTTTCCCCAACCGGTGATGTGGATGAGGGGAGCAAATGCGCGGGGATGGCCATCAACAAGGTCGAGTTTCTCATCAGTAAGTAGCGGCTTGGCGGGGGGCTGCTGTCACAGATGGGTCACAGGGGTGAATTTCTAAAGAACGTTTCTACACTTTTGCTTTCATTTCCCCCGGCGATTATGGAATATTAAAATTAACGCAAGCTAGTGGCGAAAAAGATGAAATTATATTCCCGTTCCCGCAATATTTCCCGTACCCGCAAGGATTTTGCTTAGCTTTAATTTTAGCATTGCCGGGGTACGTCGTCGTATTGTGCTTCCTTACCCTTCGGATGGAATATCCCATCATTAGTCCCGGATTGCCATTGCCATTGCCATTGCCTGGAGTGCGCTCCTCCAGCAAGCACCTTCATGCTTCGCGCTTCCACGCCTTCTCCCTCCGCTGCCACCTTTTTCGTGTCCCTTTCTGTTTATATCCTCGCTATATTACATATTGCTACGCCCAGCTGCCCAAAAATCTTCCCCCCGTGTACGAACGATGATGTAGAGCAAAGCTGCTATGAGGAGGATCGGAAGTCCCTGGTTGGGTTCTCTGTGAACGGTGCGTTGAAGCCTTTGACGTACAGCCCGAACAGAAGTCGCGGCGGGGAGGCGTTTGCCCTTGTCTCCGTCACCGATTTGAATTCCTTGAACGTGAAGCCGCCTGCTAGCATGAGGCTCTGCATGAGGTTCCGTCCCAACGGCGAGTGCTCATCTCCGCAAGCACTGTGCTATGGCAATAGCTGCATGTATTCCTTGTACAATGACAATCGGTCATGTTGCCCGGTCAACGAGATTCCTTTCGCTCCGTAAATTTGAAGTACATGTATGCAGTACATACATGCAACTCTACAATTTGATTATAGAATTTCAGGACGATGACAAAGTTGTTTGAGGTGTGTGGTGGCGGGGGGGCTAAGGCCAGGCAGGGGCTGAGTGGTGTCGTACAGGGGCTGAGTCGCGTTGTACATTTCGTACGGTGCGTTGTACTGGCTCGTTGCTCCTCTCTTTTTCCTGTTGGGCTCTGTTCCCCCTCCTGCTGGGGCAGTGCCGTGTGGGATGGTACGGCACTATGGACAGCAGTTCCTTCTAGTCGGTCAGCTGCGGGGGAAGTCCTTTGGCTTGCTGACTGACTGGCTTGCGGCCTGGCTGGCTAGGATTGACGCTTTACGTTATTTTGCGTGTTATGGAACATCACTGGACTTCTTGAGGCCTCATATCTTGAGGCCTCAGAAATCAGTCGTTGAGGCGGAGGAGGAGGTGGTGATTGATGCGAAGAAGAAGAAGATGTATACTGTGGGAAGGTTTATGATATGCTGTTTTTTCCTCGATTGGTCCATGGGTGCTTCTGTGGAGGAGGATTAGTTGGGTTCGTGTGGCGCTTCGGAGACGACGCATCGAATTCACCTCTCCCAGCGGCACCATGGTTAGGCAACGCTTGGAGGCGCGCGCTCTTTTGACGCTTAGGACGCGCCGAATTTCCATCGAGCATCAGGCAGCGATGTCTGTCGCTGGTGGGGCTTATGGAAGCCTTGTATTTGCGCGCGTGCGCGGAAGCTCTCGCAACGTGCGTGCGCGGAAGCTAAGTAAATCACTAATTTGTGTACGACATCCTAGCTTTGTTCTGCTGACAGGGCCGCGTGCCTTCACTAGTGCTACCCCCTCTGTGAAGTACGGTTATGACATGCTCGAATTTCGTACATACGTACGGCACAGTGCTTTGCAAGGACTCAGCGTTCGAGGGTTGCGTTACACGCGTTTGAGGATATCTGTCTGGGCGTCTATTAAGTACGGTAGCGGCAATGTGTACGCGAATTGGCAGTTGATTTGGGGTTATCGGCAGTTGAGTTATTCGCGAGCTCGTTTCAGTTTGAGGAAGAGGAAGTTTGGGGCAAACCCGGCGTGCAAGTTTCAATTTTGCTAGAGCGATTACTTGCTGTGCTGCATCTGGAATGGTCTTCGATGCCCTATCGGGCTTCCTAGCACATGCAAATATGCATCGTCCGCGTGCAGCAAGGTGGTGGCTGGTCATTGAAGTTCTATAGATTCGCATAAAAGAACATGCGTACTGTTATGGCCGTTGGCTATAGTCTGGCCCTTCAGCAATTGATTGATGGACGTGTGCTCATGATGCATGAGGCATGCACCAACCGTTGCAACTGACGGTATGGTTCTGGGGGTGCTGTCAATCACGTTTCTTAAAGTCATCACCAGGTGCGGTAACCCAAATGCACATGTGAGCAGCTTTTCGGATGTGCCATGGCAGCAAAAAACCAGGAAGTGTTATTATTTTCTTCTCTTGGTGGGCTTTTGAGGGATTTGGTCACGGTGTGAAAGTTTGTCGTGCTTTGCTTGGCGCTTGGCTTCTCCTGTCAAGCTTTGCTTTGGGCTATCCGGAAGTGCGGCTCCTTCCTTCGATATCCGCTTTTATCTGAACGATGATCATTCAACGATCTCGCGCGCGCGCTGAGCTGGTTAATGTTGTTGAAAGCTGTTGTTGATGAGTTTTTCGTTTCCGGGGATTACTCAGCAGGCTATATGCAGGATGTGAGTATTTTTTGCTTGCTTACAGTTGCTTAAGTTTATTAGCCTCGTAGGTCCTAACAGCAAGAAGTGAAATCGACTGTCCTGTTGACCGCCAAGAGCTCCCCTCAGCAAAGATTCTCGAATGCTATCGCTTTCGCGCGCGCCCGCGCTGCATCGCGTGACTTTCCGAGTTTTTCCTTGGTGCTTCCCGTGTCCGATGTGTTGAGCTATGATTGAGGCCGATGTGTTGTGCTATGAAAGTGAGTCTTGCCGGTGCGTATGTTCTTAAGACTTCGGGTCAGTTCCGGTAATTTCGCTTTTCAGCATGTCCTGTAAAAATGTCCTAGTTTTCTGTTAAATGATACCTTCCTACATGTTCCATAGGTTTGATGCAATCGGAACATGTTGGATCGCCACCTTTGTTGTCTTCATGGTGAAGACATCGATTTGCAGCTATCTGAAAAGACTATTATAATTGCTATTCGTGTCTCAAGACAAAATTACATCTTCATAAGAATTGTCATATTCGACCATTACGAAGTTCGACTTCACACTCGCCTGACAGTCGCCGGGCGCCCGTCTTATTCGAGATGACGACACTTACCCCGACTTTAGGAGAGTTTGTCATTACTTAAGTAGCTCTCATATGGAGAGGAACAGCTTCAAACAATAACCGTCGAAAGGCTCAAGGAAGAGTTCCCGAAGTGAAAGCCATGCCAAATCGGGCATGAGGTTGCGACATGACATATTTGAAATAAAGTACGGAAACGACAGAACTCAAAATTGGCGGACCCTTTATGTGGGTGTGCGTCTTCCCCGTTCGCCGTATGTTCTGGTTGACTTGACGATGCGCAACAATGCCGTGTGCCAACCAGGCAGGTTTCCAAGCATTCCGAGACCTGGGAGCTAAAACTGCTAAGGGTGTCCTAAGGAAAGGCCGGAAATGCTCACCGGACTAACTGACAATGCATAGTCTCGATCGGGAAGTCTCGACAGGGCGCACGCGGCGGCGCATGCATGAATGATTTCACCCTACACGACGGAACACGAGACAAGTGCGGCTGCGGCGGCGTCCTAGAAGCTTCCTGATAAGGGCGGGGACCCTCCGATTACGGACAGGCTGCTTGACTAGCTGCACGAATATAGCTACGCTGCTACCGCGGCGGCGTGTATGCGTCAACCCCGAAAAGGAGCGACGATTACTGCTGCTTGCATTTTTTTACCATGAACCTAACCCCCCGCCGTCCGGACACACCCTCGGATTCTGAGTTCCTTGTGGGGAAAAAAAGGGGGTCGCCCTGCTTGCGGTCGGCAACGCAAGGGCTGTGGCGCGGCAAATGGATGCTCAAAAAATCATTTGCTCGCTCCATGGAGCTTGTAGAACTAATCATAACGTTCCATTTGTTATTCGCAAACGGCTTTTGACAACCAGTAGAAATAAACTTTGCAGTAGGGGACGCAAAGTTTATTACTAAAATTGCTTCACCGTTAGGCGACACATTCTGCCTGGTCGTTACTAACGGATGGATGGGCGGATATCGGCCATGACATATTTTTTACATACACACACACACATACACAAGTGTATGTATTTACAGCGCAGGAGGGGGGAAATGTGTGTTTACAGGAACATCACCAGAGCCCATCGGATCTAATTGCACTGATCCTCCTGAATGGACTGAAGGGAAACTTGGACTGCCTGAAAGATACGAATGCACATTACACCACACTAACTATATATGTAACACATTGTGCAACATAATATGTAATAATGTAATGATAACACGAAAGGACACGACAGAGGCGCCATCAGCCACATTCACCTCGTCGCGACAAAAACGCCGGACGGATGCCGTTGCCATATTTCCGGAAATGGCGTCTCCAAAAGACGACCACCAATACACGACAAACAGATCCGGATAATTGCACACGGTGGCCTGAACCCCCACGCCGTACTTTCCGTACATTGCCTGCCTGCCACATAGGGAGAGATCGAGAGGAGGAGGAGGAGGAGGAGGGAGAGAGAAGGGACAAAGTGCCGTGCCTGGAGCCATGAATGCATGGCCGGCAGCGAGGGCTCGCTCGCGCTCAGGCAAATGCTCAACAGCGCCGTGTCGCCGCTCCTTGGGCCAAAATCCACGCAGTGTGTGCTAACATCCAGCATGTATGTATGTATGTACGTATGCATGCTACTAAAGACCAATAGTTACATGTTGAGAAACAACAAACAGAGAAACAAACAAACAAACAAACCCGAGTCGGAGAGGCTTAGGATAGCTAGGATATGGGAAAAAGAGGAACAAAAGCCGAGAGTGTAGAGGACGGAAAGCAATCCCAACAGCCTCCCTCACAGTGGTTGGGGAGGGGGAAAGCCGAGTGAAGTTCATCATCGCATCGCGTCATGCGCGTATCGAGTGAGGGACATTCAGCATTGTCCTTCGCGACCTCTATAAACCCATACGGGACGACGCATGTTTGTGCCAAAAGGCCGCCGACCTGTACGACATCATTGCATGACCGCAAAATGGGGAAGAGCAATATTTTTTCCTGTAAAAAATTCTGGGGGGCGACGAGTGAGGCTTTGGCCAATAGAATAAGTCGTTCGAACGACTTAGAACGAGGACAGGAAACGCTCCGAGACCATGAAAAACCCCTCAGAGAGTTTTCCATCATCAATCACTGTTCCACCTAGTAGTTGCTATTGTGGTGGGCTGCACCTGGCCCTGCCCGGCCCGACCCAATGGAGCAGTGCAACCCTCCGGAGAATCATCATCCCCACCCGCCCTTCTTCCCTTCCGCGTATAGCTCTCACCCACCAACTCCCTCTCCCGCTTCGAATCCCCTCTCGCAATACCCCCCCGCCTCTCCTAGACCAGACACGTCACCGTGGTACGACATGCAAGAGTACGTACATCCACACACTGAGGACGACTGCACGATGCGCACACTGTCCTCGCAGCGCTGACATCGCAAACAGATGTAGGCTATCGCAAATCGGATTTGCCGATAATGATATTGAGTATTAAAAAAGCCACAATTACAATAACACTTTCTTTTTCAGTGGAAAAGTGTGACTCGGAAAAAAAGTGTGACCAATCCTACGGCAGGTAGGACGTAGCCCACTACCTACCAACCTATCGACACAGGCTCCTCCTCCCATTCCTGCTCCGTACGAGTCCCAGGAGTTACTAATGCGGTTAGTACGACATACACACTCACATTACACGACACAGTGAACACTCGCTCCGAAAACAGCCATTCCCGTCCTCCTGATTACTCCTCCTCGGGAGGGCGTCCGCGTCCCCCTTCAGTCCTCCTTGATGTCGTTGATGCTCGAGCGTTCCGAAAGTCGGCGGAAGGTTTGCTGCGCCGGGGGGATACATACATACATACATACATACATACATACATACATACACATGTAACCTCTGTATGGGCTCTTTTTTTGCATCGCGCTCAAAAAGTGCGTTGCCTGTCTAGGAAGCAAATCTTTCATACCTTGCAATCTACAACCAACTTCAACGATAACGAGATCATCATCAACCAGGCTGCCGCCAGTGTAACGCCAACCAACGAACAACGAACCACTGCGGCGGCGATGAGATGCCAACGCATGAGGTATCGGATCCCTTCTCTATCCCGTACATACATAACTGAATGAGCTAATGAATGAATCAGTCATTCACGAAATGGTGTTATGGCAATGGATCTGAACGGATCATCTGCCGTTACTAATTAACAACCTGTAACGGTAACATCAACAGCAACGGTAACGCGAATCCAGGTTTTCAACGCCCACAAATCACGAAATGCATGTAAACGAAGACACCTGCGCGTGCGCACGCACATAGCCCGACAGACACACAGACAGACGCACACCCATACCGGTGCTGACCGGACGCCCCACCTGTCGAAGAATGGACTCCACAGAGTGGGCCCTGAAGGCCCGGGGACTGATAGGCTGGCCAGAGTTACCTGCAGCAAGGTGAAAGGCCGGCCAGCGGTACCCCAGAAGTGCCGTACAAGCACCCATCACGTTTTGAACCGCCACCGATAGCAGACATGGCGCCGCCACCAACAGCTGTGCGTATTGCTGCTGCTGCTGCTGTGCTCCTTGCTGTCCTGGTTGATGAAACAGCGACGCCGCCAGCGCCAAGCCCAAAACTGAGTTGCGCATCGAGGCCTTATGGAGGTGATGATGATGATGATGATGGTGATGAAGACGGCGACGTTGCCAAAGTTCATATTTTAGGTACATGTTGATAAAGAGGATCACGATTTAATATGTTGATTGTTCGTTGGATTAGAAAGCACGAGCGCGATAACGGCGCCACCCCAGCGCGGCGCACCGCCATACATACATACATACATACATACATACATACATACATACATACATACAGGCCAGGTAAAAGCCATAGCCGCAGCCGCAGCCACGCATCGTCATCATCATCCCGGGGGAGGCACACACACGTACCTGATATGCCGTGGTACGGCAAGTACTGCCGGGTGAGCTCACGCCAGCAGGGATCAGGTAGCCCAGTAGGAGTGCCGCTGCGTGTAACCACAAAACACCCGCGAGCACGGGCAAACCGACGGCATGCAGAGCCTCCGCTCCCACAGCCGCGTTGACCAGCACATTGACGACCACCATAGCTGCGGCTGCAATGAGACTCCAGCGCCGTGCGGTAGCGGCAAATGGCTTGCTAGGGAGGAAAGCGGATAGCACGGCGCCTGCTGCAAGCGGCAGTGTAGTTGTGAGGGAGGTGTGGTAGAGGAGGGTGGCACGTGCGGTGGCGGGGAAGTCGGGCGACAGATGGGCGCGGAAGAGGACGTCAGCCGTGGAGGCGTCTGGGGAGGGGGGCTGGTCGAGGAGTAGGAGGGTGAAGTGGCGGTAGATGTAGGGGGAGGTGACGAGGGCGGCCGCCGGTGTGGAGAGAAGGCACAGGAGGATGGAGCACTCCAGGCTGCCGCCAGCAGTTTTGGCGTTGATCGCGGCGGTGGGTCCTCCTGCGGTGTGGGTGTGGGATGCGGAGGTGTGGGATAAGGGGATGGAGAATGTGCGCGCTCTAGGAAATCGTGGAGGCGTGGCTTGTAATAGGTTTGAGGGAGGCGAGTAGGAAGTGGTGGGTGTGGAGGAGTCAAGAATTCAAGAGAGTGGAACGCCATGTCTCCATCTTGGCATATTTTTTTGGTTGCAGCGCAGCAGTGCAGTGCAGTGCAGGCTAAAGCTGAAATTCTGTGGTACTTGAAATGGGCAAGCTGCCAGACTTACCTACTGGGCAAGCCGCCAGAAGAACGAAACCCACGGCAACTGCAAACGGCAACCCAGCCTGAAGCGCCAGTACTGTCGCCGCCAGACCCAGAGCAGGCCATAAGAAAGTCCCGATGAAGAAACAAAAGGAAATATTTCCTGCAGAAACGCTACAGTTAGAGACAGACAGCTATGGCCAAGAGTCACGTCAATCTTAACGCACCGAGACCCAGCGACGATCCGATTAAATCTTTGAGCTTTGTAGCGCTGCAACTGAGGCCTAGAAAGAAGTATGCGGTTCCCAGCGTGTGACTAGCCTCCACCTGCAGCAGTCATTGCCTTCGTTCCGTTACTACGTTATCATCAAATACGTAGGGTTCGGCCATATAGCACCTTGGTGTTTTCTAGGTATTCGGGCATTGATAACGCAATTGCCACAGCAGCCGGCAGCGCAAGTGCAAACAAAACCTGCCACATCATCGCAAAGAACTTCCTCGTCAATTCATATAAGTTGTGGCATTATGTTTTTGCTTTGGCATCTGGATACAGCTGCGTAACCTGTATGGCTGCCAAGTGTCCCCCGCGCCGTACGTGATCCAGAGAGCACAGATCGAGACATTATGTCTTGTTCCATAATATAACTCTGTTACGTCATGATGGCTTATTCAGTCCTGCAGCCACATAGAAACCTGTCCGCATGCTATCGGCTCCGAAGGGTTTCCTGAGCAGGTTTGAACTCCGGCGAGACCACCATCTCTCAGGTACATCTAATGCTAGTCTTCGAAAGGAACATCGGGACGTGTGAAACTTAGTTGCTTGCGAGAGGCCGGGAGAGCATTGCTATTTAAAGTTGTGGACGTCCAGCTGCTCCAGCTGGGAGCTACCATGAAAGAGCAAATCGTAGGTGGCGAGAGGCAGAGATGGAGAATTATGGAAAAGGCAATTCATGCGGCGTGCGATTTTACGTCGAGCAGGAAGGTCCTCATATCCCCATCACCTTTATCCACACGTTGTGCTGCAGATATGTCCTGCGCTATCTGATTAAGGCCCGGGTTCGTTGGCCAGTGTTGGCTACGCGAAAACCTGCCAGCGACTTACCTGTGTCCACTCCATCAAAAGTCGATGACATTAACTCTGATCAACAAATCCTAATGAGTCCTCACGTCCATCGTAAATACACTTGCTGATGTACACGCGCCTGTAACCTCATGGCTTCGCTGTGAATCGCTGCTCGACGTGTTTGCTATTTGGGGAACATCTTGGGGCCAAATTGAAATAGTACAGTTGCTTTTAAGGTTCCAAAAGCGAATGCGGCGTCCTGCGCGAACATGATGCGAACACCGGTCGGGAAGATGGTAAATTACCTCGTTTAGACAGCTTCACCTAGTTTTGCACAAACAGTCGCACACGCAGATGCTTTAAGCGGAGAGGGAGATGCTTTGTGCCGGGCAACCTGCTTAGCGTCGCATTGCACGCAAAAAAATAAATAGTTTTCAGGTTCTATTTAGTCGAGGCCTTAGGTGCCCTTGTTGTCTGTCGCCAATCCTAACCACACGTCGCTGTTAACTATTGGGAGCTCGCTCAGGTATAAAGTTATTCTCCGGTGTACCGCCATCGCCATGTCCTTCATCCACTTCATCGCGGCTCCGAAGATCATCAAAGCACAGCTTAACAATTACAAGGAAGCATCACTCCTATCAGCGCCATAGGACCATCAAGAATAACGTTCGAGCAATTAAGCTCTCATCCACTTGCTGCCCGCCCAGGGAATCCCGTAAAATCTCCCTCTTTCTCCGTACGGAGCACTCAGACAACCCCAATTTACTTCGCGAGCTTGAAGTAGGAGCTCACTTCAACATGGTTACTAGATGCACCAAAGCTACCATATGCGCCAAAAGACACCTATCACTGTCAGCTTACCAGCAGCCATCAGCGGTACCAATCCTCGTTTGAAGCATGCACCGTCAATAATGACGGCTAACGATGTCCGATTATGAAGCTTCCGGACTAGTGACTGGGAACTGAACACTCTAATGGATTAAATGCAGTCCAGCAGTCGCACACCCTCGCTACTGTGGGTAAGAGTAAGCCCAGAGATCGAAGCCCTTGCAGACGAGGGCGGTTTTACAGGTGTAGTGTTGTGAGTCTGCACATGACGGAGTGGTGACCTTGTTAGGTGCTGCCTCGGGCGAGCCTTAGCGCCACCAGACAAGCTCCCGCCTTGACACCTTGCCCTCACGCCTGCCTGACGCGTACAACGCGCTCTCTTTTATCTTGGCAAAAGGGGGAAATGCGGGGTTGCACGCCATCGGTCGAGCAGGCTCTCCCCCCACAAGGAGGAGAGTTCTTCGACGGTCGCTCATTCCCGTTGGGGTACAGTTAGGTGCCCCTGGCCATTGTGAGGCCCGGATCGATATGTAACACACAGATGCACACACAGATGCACACACAGATGCACACACAGATGCACACACAGATACACACACAGATACACACACGCACAGAGGCTTCCGAAGCCCGGGCAACCTTTAACCAGTGCATGCAAGAGCCGCAAGCCTGCTGGAAAAGCTTTGGTTTATTCAGCATCTGATGTTTTCTTTGGAGCGAGACAGGAGAAGGCATTTCATGCATACAACTGACATCAGAACGCCGTATGAGGGAGGTGGTACGCGCGGGGCGTGCGGGACGGTGGAGGATAGCACGGCATCTCGCATAAAAAGAATCCCCAATTAGTCTCGGTAAGTGCATGCATCTCTATACCTACTTTTCCATGGGAGCGAGTTGGTTGTGGGAATGGTAATGTGGGAGAGGGTTGGTTGTGGGAGCCCACAAAATGAGTAGCAGGCGGAGCAGACGTCATGAATTGTGGCCAACAAGACAGGCGTATTGGTGTACGTGGTGCTGGTGTAATACAAGATATCATCAGGGGGTTAATGGGTGGTCAATGGCGGGTTAACTTTAAAGCTGCCCTTGAGAAAGCAGGGGAAGCGAAGGAAAAGGCTTCAAGAAAAAAACTCATTCATGTTTTTGGGGCCCTAAATGGGCAATACCGGGTAGCAGTGGACCTCGTTCAGCATGTCGAGCCATCAAGTGGGTCGCACGCTCCGCAAAATGAAGCTGCAGGATGCGAGTGCGTCCAACAATGAACTGATTTGTAGCTTAAAACGTTACAATAAGCAACCGCAAAACCTCCGTTGCTACTGTAAGTTGCCTTGGCAGTTGGAGTTACATCAGAACAGCCAAGCGATCTGAACAAATTGGTCCTTGTGTATAAGTACCCAGTATTGTTTCTTTCAGGCTTACCTACATATAATTCGCCTACCAATCGGTGTTATGAGGCCCTAGGGCCTGGATTAAGCTAAGTGGTTTCGGAGCTTCTAGTGGAGATTGTAACTGCAAGGCTATCGCTAAGCACGAATGCGATAAAAAAATACTTTTGCATAACATTATATTCCTAAAAATTTAGTCCACCTGCTTAGAGGGCACGCTGTAGATATTGTCCTGGGGATATATCCCTACTATAACCTAAATATTCCGAACTGTGGCATCTGTTGGTCGGTTTTTTTTCTCGATATTGAAATTTCCCGAGCATTATCCTACTTACCTATCCTTGCTTCTGTAGCACGTTACACAATTCTAAATTGCAGACACTTCAGCCGGCCGGTTCCAGCCATATATGTAACTCTTTGGTTTGACCTGTACACTAAGGAACTTGCTACGTCCGGGTCTATGTCCAGAGCTATGTCGTGGCCTTCGCTCAGAGCTACCGCGGGGTCTTCTCCTAGTCCTTGAGAATGATGATGGCACGTTTTGCGCAAATAAATATTTAAAATGGAGCTGAAGCTGTGTCTAATGGAAGCCATGGCTACGCCTGATAAAAGTTGCAGGCGTTCCTGCTGGGATGACCTCCCGGCGCAAGTCCTGGAGTTAATCGCCAGCTTCCTTACGGGCAATGAAATTATGTGCACGCTTCGCTTAATTAATAAGGCTGCGGCAGAGCTGTTTCGGGGGCGATTTGAGGTTCGAATGTCGCAGCCCGTTCCGCGACACGCGTGCCTTTTGCACTGGAGCGGCATCCACGTGATGCGAAACATGAATCTGAAGGAACGCTACCGCATTTTGGCGTTGCTGTGCCGCAACAGCAGTCTCACCAACCTGCGGATCGCCATCGCAGCTTCAGGCTGCATCCCCGTTGCGGAGTTGTTTGACGCAGCAGCTGCCGGTGGATCTCTTGATATTTGCCAATGGCTAGACGAAATGGGTTACCCAACTGACAAGGAAACTGCAGTCAAGGCCGCGGCCCAAGCTGGCCATTTGCCCGTAGTGCGATGGCTCCTTCGCTACAGCCCTGACCTTTCAAACGCCGCCTGGACCGCTGCGGCTCGCGCCGGTAGACAGTCCACGTGCGAGGCCCTACTAGCAGCTACGGATGTTGTTGGTCCTTTGCCCGTGGAGGCCTTGTTCGCCTCTGCCCGAAATGGCCATGTTGGCCTCACTGAATGGTTTCTGAAGCTGCCACAGACACCGCCACTCTCCTCCATCGACGTTCAGATCCTTTTGAGAAACGCTGCGTTCGGCTTCGATCTGGATTCGTTACAACGTTTGTACAACAACTCGTTGGCCGTGTACGGTGGCAGCGATGCCGTACACCTGCTGGCGAATACGAAAGGCATGCTGGCAGATGCCGTGGTCAGTCCCACGCTCGACTGGCGGGCGAAAGTGGAGTGGCTGACTGCGGCGGGTGCCAGCCACGACGCCGGACATGTACGATGTGACGAACTCGCCGCCCGTCCTGACTGTGTCGAACGCGCACAGCTGCTGTTGCAGCATCGGCACTTACCCAGTATGTTTTCCTTGGCACGTGCCGCCGTACAAGCCGCTGCCGTACCGTTGCTGAGGTGGCTGTCGCGGTTGTCGGCAGATGACGTCACCCGTCACAATCGCCAGGATCGGAAGCTGCGTGCGGCGGCGGCAGCGGCAGGGTTGGCAGTTGGTGTACGACATCCCGCTGTCGTACTTCGTGACCCGTCGCTGTGCACTCATGCCGCCAGGGAGGGTCATTTGTCCGTATTGCGGGAGCTGCTGTCGTACGGATGCCCGTGCAACGAGGAGACCATCGCCGTGGCGGCGCAGTACGGCCTATTGAAAATGCTCAAGATGATCTTTGCGGCGACCATGACAGCAGCAGTGGCGCCGCCGCCGCCGCCGCCGCCACCGGCAGTAGCTGCCGCCGCTAAAGATGGGCCACCCGTACGGCGGCCGCCGGCGGCGGCACAGGCGATGTGGGGCCCCCGAGTGGTCCAATGCGCCGCAGAGTCAGGCAGTACGGAAGTTATCGCCTGGCTTCGGAGGCGTGGCTTGCACATCTGGGACGAGCACGTATTCTGCAAGGCTGCCGGCTCGGGTTGCCTTGACCTCGTGGAGTGGTTGGCATCACGGGGGTGCCCCATGGGGGTGAGTGGGCCCTTCGCGCACTTAGGATTATTTAAATTGAGTGTATTTAAACTGTCCCTCGCTTCTCATCTTCGAAGATAACCGGGAAGATAGCCCTGCATATATAACGTTTTATATTTTACATATTTTATAATTTATATATATGTTTTACATATAAGTTTATATTTACGTGTTATTTTATTCTATGTTTATATACACATTATAATATTAAACGTACATATAAAACGTAATTATATATATAATATAAAACGTGATGGCCCCCTTCGCCATATCTCCTCGAGAAGTTCCTAGCGGTCCTCATCCGTACATCGCGGTCCGTCTGTCTGCCTGTGCGTCTGTCTGTACGTCTATCTGTAGGTCGTTGTGGTCGATATCGATATTTATATGTATGCACGGACTATGAGGACGTATCGTATAGCTATCACTGCATCACTGTCTGTATTTTGTGTTAACATTTTGTTTTTACATCAAAACCACCAACGTAGGGCACGGGCCAGGCCTACCTCGTTGCGGCCCGTAACGGGGATTTGGCAGCGCTACGTTGCCTGCGGCGGTTGGGCTGCCCCTGGGGCCCGGTGGCGGCTGGCGGCGGCGGCAGTAGCGGCGGCGGGGTCTTCATCTGCGCCGTGGAGGATTGCAGTCTTGACATGTTGCGGTGGCTTCATGCGCTAGGGTGCCCAGTAGACTGGCAAGAGGCGCAGATGCAGGCTCGGCAGCGGCGGAGCAAAAGCTTGGCGGCGGCGGCGGCGGCGAAGCAGTACGATTCGGCGGCGGTGACGGCGGCGGACGCGGTATTGGCGTGGGTGGAGGAGATGTGCGAGGTGCATGACATGGTACTGCAGCCGTCGATGGCTCATAACGGGTCGCCATCCTTTATTTGAATACAGTGATATAATACAGATATACGCATACACATACATACATACATACATACATACATGCATGCATCATGCATACATACATCGTATATGTATACATACAGGCAGGAGAGGTACGTGTAACGGGGTGGTCGAGAATAAACTACAAGGAAGGTGCTGATGAAGATGCTGCATGCAGCGGCTTGTAGCGAACGGCCGAGTTAATTGGGCTGTGCTGCTGCTAGTGCTGCTGCTTGTGCTGCTGCTAGTGCTGCTGCTAGTGCTGCTGCTAGTGCTGCTGCTAGTGCTACTAGTGCTACTAGTGCTGCTGCTAGTGCTGCTGCTAGTGCTACTAGTGCTGCTACTAGTGCTGCTGCTAGTGCTGCTGCTAGTGCTGCTGCTAGTGCTGCTGCTAGTGCTGCTAGGCTTGGGGTCCCGATGCGGTTAGAGACCCACAGACACTGCTGCAGCTGAGAAGCGCTCGGAAGGGGAGGGGGGTCGTCGTACCTTCTTTCCAGTGCATTACATTATGTGTTGGATTTGCTCGTCCATCTGACTACTTTGCCGTACACCTGCTGTGTACGCGGTGGTGTTGGATTTCCCCACACGCGTCTTCCCACATGCAGCGTGTGTAGTTTCTCCCACCCTTGCATGGGATGTTGTGTGCAACCCTTGGCGTGGTTGTGCAGCCGCTGTAGCTTTTTTGGATGCCTGGATGCCCTACATATACCTCCTCCTCCTCCTCCTCCTTCTCCTCCTCCCCCTCCTCCTCCTCCTCCTCCTCCTCCGCCTCCTCACATTAACACATGAACTCATTTTCTGCCTCCGTGCCATTACATCGACCGGAGACGGTCGTCTCCGTCTTCACGAGAATCCCCGGTGACGTACGACGGATGTCGTACATGTATATTAGTGTAACTCTTGGGGCATCTCGTGACGTCGGTAAAACATTTTTGTCTGTTTTCGTTATGTCTGCTTGTGGGTACGCATGCATGCAGTGTGTGTAGGACACTGCGCACTGAAATCCACGTTGCGCAGTTTATTTTTTAAAAAATTAAATCATTTACACACAGCCGCGACAATGATCTTCTTCATTAGCATTTTTCGTCGTTTTGGGTGGTGCCGTAGGTGCGTGCCGTAGGTGCGTGCCGTAACCACCGCGTACACGGACACGCGTTGCGAAGGATGAGCGAACAGTGTGCATGTCGTACGTTTGTACGATATGAATACACTGGTGGATTATGTGTGTGTGTGCTGTGGGTGTGTCTTATGTGGGTGTGTGTGCAAATATCAGGGCAGAGTGATGGAGTGAATGTGTCTGCTGAGCGTTATGGCTGGGCTAGCAGAAGTAAAACCTCTGTCGGGATGACAGAGTGGCAATCAGAAGCACATGCGCGCCTGGTGTGATTTAAGCCTCTATTGTATGTACTACAGGAAGAAAAAATGTACGAACATATATTTGCAGTACATGCAGTACATGTCGATTATGAATAGAGGGAAACGGGACGCAGGGATGCGAATGGATTCATCTTCATATGCATGCTGCTGCTGGGTTTTTAAAAAAACACCTAAATTTAATGATGCGATTATTTTGGAGCTATCAGCTATGAGAGCAATAGACGGGTTTGCGGGCTAACGCAATGCTGGTCCCAGCTCGCGTTTGTGTTTTTACTTGTACTTGTAGTGACACTGATAATGATATTCTTGTGTGCGTGCGGTGGGCTGAAAAAGGGTAGAAGGGCGGACTAGCAATTTTAGGGCCCGTGATCTAGGCCCGTGATTTGTATTCGCAGCTCGGCCTGAGATGGCTGTGTACATTCACTTTTGCTCTACGCACGTACGTACAGCGATGCCCGCTAGACACATCTTCCGGCAGCTGCTGTACGACGCACCCGTGTACGATATGCGCTCATGTAACAGTATGTATGCCTGTGTGAATGTATGAATTTTGTTTGTATACCACATGTATCATATAACGGCAGCGAGCAGGCTTTCGATGCTTCCTGCTGCCAGTGCTGCTGCTGCCAGTGCTGCTGCTGCCAGTGCTGCTGCTACTGCTGTTGCTGCTGCTGTGTAGCCGAATGAAAATTTATTTTGTTGTTTAAAGGTGAACCTGGGGGTGTCGTTGGTAGTTGTGGTAGTTGTGTTACGATTGATCCTAACCCCGTTGGGCAGGGCCCAGCGGGACTTGTATACATACATACATACATACCATTGCCCCCGGGAGATCCCGGGATGGATACCCATTAGGGTCAAAACATCCTTCCAATGGTGGAAGGTATTGCGCCCCTAGTTGATGGACGGTGGTGACCTGGGATAAAGTTAACCTGCGAGCCGACCAGGAATGGAGTTGGGCCGCTGTCGACCCGGCAGGTTCCGTTGGATGCTGGTGGTGGGTGCGGAACCTGAGCGCGATCCACTGAGAAGTTGACTAGGGTGACTGGATGAGGGTGCCCCGAAATACCCGCGGGGAAGGCAGGGTTTCGCAGGGTAGCTGCCACGGGTGAAGATATACCCCCCTGTTTCACATATACATACATACAAACAGCGGGGCCTGATCTGGTGACTGGTCACACGCACGTACCGAAAGGCAGACGTCTTGGTTTTCAGATGAACCCGTCCTAAACCTGTTGATTGAATCATGTACGGCCTTTTGGCAGTTAGGTCATTTTCTACCTTCTCCTGTGTACGATTGTGTACGGAAATGCGTGTGTTTGCGTAACATGATGTACGTGCATGTACGTGGAAAACAGAAGTCCATTCGGATTTGGAGGGCCCCTGACTACCCAGACTGTGACTTCAAATATTCTAGATTAACTCTCCGTCCTTTTTATGTTTTGTAAATTTACAGTAGAGTAAGCTTGAAGTTGGTATTAAAAGATTGAACAAAGCTTTGTGCTATGCCGCCAGGAAAGAGTATTATATATTATAAATTTATCGGCTTAAAAATCGATTTGCACCTATTATTTGTCCTCACCTATCCTTTTCACCTAATCATTAAAAGTAGCTTTAAAAGTAGCTGCAGTGTGTTGGAACCTGCACGACATCTTGAATGAATGCTGCTCACAATTATGCGCGAATCGTGACGTTATTTCCGTCCGTCGGTTGGTGGTTGCCGGTTGGTGGTTGGCCTCATGATAGATACGCTGCGGCCGTAGATGATGGTCCTTCCGTGGTGCACGGTTTCATTAGCTCAACGAGGAGGTAGCTTTACTGCTGGGGCTGCTGCTACTGCTCTTAAAAATTGGTTGCTTACTTGAAACTGTCTCGTGCTATTGGACAGTTTGACAGGCGAATGACGCATGACGCGCTGCTGGAGGCATATTGCGTAATGGTGAGGGTTGTTGGAGTTTATTTTGCTACGGCGGAGGGCCGCTTACAGAAGGTTTTGATTTCTCGCTAGGAGGTCGTTACTCCGTGGTGGACCGACATGTAAACATGCATTGTTTATTTCAATTTTACTTGTTGCTGGAGAAAGGCCGAGAGAGAGAGAGAGAGAGAGAGAGAGAGAGAGAGAAAGCGCGAGCGGAATGCTAACGGGAATGCTGATTCTCCCCTTCCTTCGCTTAACGGTTCTGCTCTGTGGAAAAACACAGAGAGATTTGAATTTGCGTTGCGTTATAGACGTACATTCGTAGGGTGAGCTGGTTATAGCGGCCTTGTCGCGGAGCTCAGTGTTGTGTGCGGTGCTGTGCTGTACATTTGTAACGCTGACACGTAGCTACGCCATTCGGACTTGCCATGTACGACACGGATGGCATCCGTACATGCCGTGTCGTACATGTCGACGTGTCGTGTCATGTCATCTGCGATGCCATCTGAGCCTGCCGAGCGTTCAAGATTACCACATTGAGCAGCACTTGCAGCACGGGCAGTTCTCGCCGCCAGAAGCGGCAGGCGGCCATGATAGCAGAGGGCAGATCCGGATCAGGATCCACCTCAAAATCCGGATCCAATTCCGCTTCCGGATCCGCTGGATCCTTGGACCTTTTTGATTCTGTGGGTACGCTGGATTATCAGTTGCGCTCGGTTGGTTATGGTGAATGGATGACAAAGTACCATGACAAAGTTCCGTGACATAAGAACTGCTGAGTTTATCCAGGTATGCACAAAATTACAAAAAACAACAGCGTCAGGATATATTTTATCATTAGCTTAAGTATGCGACTTGATCCATAAGAATGTCGTGCGAAGGTAAAGATATATCATAGTTCAGGCACTACAGGTGACGCACATACCGATGTCTCCGGACATTCCGGGATCGAGATCGGTCAAGACCATAAATCGATCCGGTTGGGTGGAAGGTGAGAATGCCCCTTGTCGATGGACGGTGGTGACCTGGGATAAAGGTTCCAAGGTTCCAAGTTACAAGTCCCGCACACAAGTGCCGGGGGGGGGGGTCCGTAAAAGCCATTGGGGGAGGGGCCATGGACGATAAATCGTTTTAGTGCGGTTACGTGGTGGACCATCATCGTCCTCCCTCGTCCGCTTGAGCATGAAGCGCCTTAGCGCAAAGTAGACTTGCGAGCTGACCAGGAATGGACTTGAGCCTCCGTTGAGTTTCTCGGATAAAGGTTTTCGTTCACTAACTCAGATGCACATACGCACAGCCACTAGACCCGCCCTGTCCTCACCACCCGCCTTCCTTGAGATCTCGTGTTCGCGTAAAAAGTTCCTTGTGCCCCCCGGCCGGTGTGCCCGGGGGTTTTAAATCAAAATGAAAACGCCAGCAGCGGGGCCCGTTTATGGTTTGAATGTATAAAAAGCCTGGTATGATGAAGCTTGCGGTGGATTAATGGTGAGTTTCCTTAAGCAACGTGGGACATTTCCGCAACGTCGTCTTACGCGTCCCGGACAGGCCCGGACTGCATAGCCCGGGCTCAAACAAAAGCTCTTTCAAGCCATAAGCCAGTTGTGGAAAAGTAGGGTCGACAGCTGAAGTATTTTCCTGTCTGAGGATGATGGGGCGCAAGTAATGCAGCAGTGTTCAGGAAGGGGGGAAACGATACGGAGTGGTGCCGTATGCTCAGGTGTCGCAGTCTGCGGGTATCAGTAACGAAGTGCTTTACGATTATCGCCCTGTAACTCAGGTTGAAGCAAAACGTCTTGAGGGCTATGGAATAATTAATTTGCAAATTTGGGTTAGGCAGCTAGACGGTACTATTAACTGTCGCGTTTTTCATTTGCTGCAAGGCGGTGACAGTCCCGGCATAGTCTTGTAGCAATAACCTTCTTGAAAGAAAAGAAAGGCGAGATCATGACAAGCCCAAGTGGCACAGGTTCTCCATCCGGCAGCAGCGAGGCCCCACAAGTTTCGCGACAGCAACCACAAAGCCAACAACAAAAGGAGCACCCTCAAATGGTGTCATCGCCTGTCCAGCCATCCCTGACTGTTGCACCTGCAGACCATGTGCTCACCCTTGTTTCCAGCTGCGTAAGTTGGGTCGCTTGGGAAGCCTATATAACATCTTTGGCATTGTTCCTTGTACACACTTCCACACGCCAAGCAGAAATCCAGTGCTGGTGCTGTTGTGATCATGGACACGACATCCAACCCAAAAGCTGTTCACGCAGCTCCGGTGCAGATAGGGCCCTCTTTATGCTATGCTTGGACTGGGCATTTCTTGTTACAAAGCTGCGTCGCGTCGCTGGTCGCGCGTCCATCCCCATCCTCCAGCAGTCAAGGCGCCCAAACGCCGTAGCCGTTCGCCCATCAAGACCCGTGTACCATCTGTCTTACAACGCAGGCACACATCGTTCCTTTCTTCCACTTCCCAATTCCCCCTGTAGCGCTCTCCCTTTCCCAGCTACCTAACCGCTAACCGTTAACCGCCCACAGGTTGTCAATCAGCGCGGTTTCGCCAACACGTGTGGAGTGCCCCTCGGGGCTCACATGGACTTCCAACCACCTGCCGTACTGGGACTGCCCCGCATAGGGCCCAACAGACCGCCGTTGCGCTGTAATGGCTGTTCCGCCTTCCTGAACGTGTACTGCAAGGTACGGAACCGTAAAGATTCCCCTAAAGGAAGTCCCCTAAAGCCGCCGTCCCCCGCCAACACCTGTCTATCTAGGGGCTCGGTCACAAACAGACAGACATTCTGACGGACAGCAAGGCACAAGCTGACAGACTAGCATCATGGCCCTCCCCCCCCCAAGGTCTATAAACAGACAACAACCGCAATTGTTCTATACGTAGATGAAGTCCTCTGCAGCTGCATGATGTGATCGGCTGCATGATATGATCCCCCTCGCCCCCGTCTCTTTTAACGACGTGTGGAGCAACATCCCCTCCTCCCCCCTGCTTGGGCCCCTGAAACCCCTTCCCCCCCTGAAACCCCTTCCCCCCCTGAAACCCCTCCCCAACGCACACGCACGCACACACACACACACAAACGCACTCTTGGCAGACCAATCTTCCCAAAGGCGTGTGGAAATGCAACATGTGCGGTACGGTCAACATCCACAAGGATCGGATGGGGGAGGCCACGGAGGTGTCGGTGAGAAGGGAGGGATGGGGGAGCATGGAGAGGGAGTGCGAGGGGGGAGCGTAAGGGGGGTTTAAGACGAACCACTGACGATTGGAGCAGACACCAGAGACGGACGTATAGTCAAACAGAAGACATATACTGCATCAGGAAATATATATTTGTAAAAAACTTTTTTATAACTGATTTTAGTAATTTAGTGGGTATGACTTGACATGGGTAGTTGTCGCGACGGCGACGTGGCCAGCTGGGTTGTTGTGAAACTAGTAGTGGTCGATAATGTATAGACTAGAACTGAAGGCCGTGATGAGGAAGGAGCGGTATTGGAACGTGGTTCGGAAGATGTGGGCACCGAGTTGGCGGAGGAGGGAGCTGTGGAAAACTATACTTGTGCTGTTGATGAGGGCGGGTGGGGGCGTGGAGTGAAGGAGGGATGGAGGGAAGGAGGGAAGGGGGGATAGGAAAGGGGTATTGTTGGTGCGGGTGGGGGAGGAGAGTGTGTGTTTTGTGTAAACGACGGGTTGTTGTTAATCTGTTATGACCACCTTTCGCAACCTCGGCCTCTGCCGCCCCCGGCCCCTCTCTGCCCCGGCCCCCCTACTCGTCAGTTTTGTTTGTTGTACACTCTTTCCTTGGCAGCAGCTTCACGTGGTTCGTTCACGTGGTTCGTCTTTCCCCTGCCTCCCCTTTCCACTCCCCTCCCTTCCCTCCCTGAGTTGTGCGTCACTCGTCTTACCCTCCCCCCTCCCCCTTTCCATCGCCTCTGCTTCGTCGTATCCCCCTCTCCCTCCTCCAGCGTTGTGTCCTGGACTTCCTGCACTTTCCAACTCCAGCCAGGCGGCAGTTGACTCTCTCGTTGTTTTCTGCATCGTACGATTTCCCTCGTCTTACGCTCCCGCCTGGCAGCAGCTTCACTCGTTTGTGGTTCGTCTTTCCCCCCTTCTTTTTGTATGCCGGCAGTTGATTTCCTCTCCCTTGACTTCCCTCCGGACTGAAATCCCCCCCTCTTCCACCTCTCCACCTCCCTCCTCAGGCCTTTCCCGAGCTGTGCTCTGAGGCGGTGGAGTACGTGGCGCCTCTGCCCCTCTCCCACCCCATCAGCCTCCCCTCCTCCCCCTCCTCTCCTCCCTCCTCCCCCCCCAACCCGAACCAAACCCGTCCCGCGCCCCACTTGGTGTTTGCGGTGGATACCTCGTTGGAGAGTAGGGACCTGCAGGTGCGTGCATGTGCGTATGTATGTATGTATGTATGTTGTTACAGGGTGGTTAATAAGCTTCACCAGCGGCCCCCTTTCCCTTGGAGGCAGTTCCCTGCTCTCCCCTGCTGGAGGGGCATCCTAAACAATGTGTATGTATGTGTGTGCTCATTTTTGTTTTTGTACCCTTTTCTTCCTTCCAAGCAAAGAATGGAGAGGGGAGAGAAACGGAAAATACTTGTCTTCACTTCACTTCACTTCACTTCACCTCATTTCCAGGCCACCAGGAAGTCCCTTTGTACGGGCTGGTCTCAGTTCCCACAGTACAGTGTGTTTTATCCCCACTCACCACACGGGGGCATTTGCGGTTTTGGGCTTGAGTCTTTGCCTTTCCTGCACCATCATCAGCATCATGAGTATCATTCGTCAGCATTAGCATTATAATCGTACAATCCCCCCTTCTTCCCACAGGCCGTACGTGAGGCCCTTCTGGACAACCTCCGAAACCCCTCCCTGGACCCAACTACCCTCGTCTCCCTTGTTACCTTTGACGGTTGTGTTGCCGTACACAACCTGGGAGTCCAACGGTGCAGCCACGTGCTTCCGGCTTCCGCCGGCGGCGCTGTACCGCTCTCCCTGGACCTGCAATCTGCCGTACAGCAGCTCTTGGACCGTCACTGCGTCGCTACCGCCGCCAGGCGGGCTGGCGCCGCCGGCGCCACCGCTGCCGCCGCCGTCGCCGGCGGCGGCGTCCTGGTTTCGGAGGCTGGGTTTTGTGCTTCCCACCTTCCCGGGGTGTTGTCGGGTTTGCGTACGGTACAGTCAGATGTGCCTGTACGAGCAAGGGCCAGGTATGTGCGTCTGTCCGTCTGTCTGTCTGTCTGTCTGAATCAATGCCATGTGCGTAATTTTTTATGGTTTGCACTTTGCGGCTTATGATTCCCAAACCTGTATTGGGATTAAAAATAAAATATTTTTTGTGTTGCGAATTTGTTTTTAATTCTTCTCGTCCCCCCCTACTGGTCAGTCCTGCTTCTGATACACTCTTTACTTGGCAGCAGCTTCACTCGTTCGTTGTTTGTCTTTCTCTCCCCCCCCCCCCCCCACACACACACACACCGACCTTTCGTATGGGCCACCCACCCACACCTTCCGTTTTCTCTTTCGGGCAATCTTGGTTTGAAATGGAAGGTGTTTTTGTACGGCAGTGGAGGCTGCCCTCCGGCTGATTGCGGCACATGCCGGCCTGGATCTGACACGTCACCATAACCTGTACGGCAGTCGTGTGATCGTACTGGCGGGCGGCCCACCGACCCGTGGGCCGGGAGCGGTTCCGCTGGAGTTGCTGGACCAGGTGAGTGCCTTGATGGGTTAGGAGGGGTCGAAATCCTTCCGATGGTGGAATGTATTGCGCCCCTAGTTGATGGACGGTGGTGACCTGGGATAAAGTTAACCTGCGAGCCGACCAGGAATGGAGTTGGGCCGCTGTCGACTCGGCAGATGTCGTTGGATGCTGGTGGTGGGTGCGGAACCTGAGCGCGATCCACTGAGAAGTTGACTAGGATGACTGGATGAGGGTGCGCCGAAATACCGGGGAAGGCAGGTTCTGCCGGGTACAGCAGCTGCAGGGTGTAGATATCACCCCCCTGTCCCACACATCATACACACATACATACATACGTGTAATGTATGGCCCCGTGACAGGCTGTCTCTGAGAAGGGTCGTGGCGCGGAGAACCGTCTGATGGCTGCGGCTCTGGATGTGGGGGCGGCGCTGGGCGACATGGCCGCGAAAATCGGCGTGGCGGTGGATATCTTCACGAGTGAGTGGCCGCTAGCCTGAGGGGTGGTGTGGATGAGCCTCTTTCCTGCCGTACGCTCGTACCTCCCGTACCCTACCCCTCTCCTCCCCCCCTCCACAATGCCCCCCCCCAACCCGCCAGGTGTGCCTACGGGGATCAACGCCCGGCTCCTCACTGCCATCTCCCACGGCTGCGGGGGGGAGTTCATGCCACAAAACACACACACACTCCCCCACGTCCACCCGCAACCCCACCAGACCCCTAGCACACCATCCCCAACCACACTTCCTCAGCAGCAGCAGCAGCAGCAGCAGCAGCAGCTGGCGTCCGCAGCCGCCAGTGCGGGTGGTTGGGGGGGTGGAGGCGGTTTTAACGGTTGGTTGTTGGCTCGTCAGCTCTGGGCGTCACTGACTCGGCGGTTTGGAGTTGAAGGACGGTTGGACTGTTACTGCTCGGAGGGGTTGAGGCTGGTACAGTGGTTGGGACCGTTGGATACAATACAGGTAGGAGTTGAGAGGGTTCGTTGGGACGTTGTTGTGAGGGCTGGAGAGGCACTCGTTTTTAACGGGGGTTGGGTGTTGGGGCTCGGTAAGGGGTAGTGCCTAGTAGTGGGGGAAGTCGGGGTGGTGGGGGAAAATTCCTTCATCAAGATGGGGTTTTTAGAGTTGATGGGACTCACCTCCCACCTCTCACCTCACCCCTCACCTCACCCCTCACCTAGTTTGGTTCCGTCTTAAAAATATCTTCAATAATATCTTGCAGTGCCTCGGTTGTTTCGCAATCAATACTTTTTTGCCTCAAGAGCCTTCCTTGTTTATATTCAGAAATCCGCTCCACGTGCCGCTCCGTCGTTTTGCGGACAATAATATGTTGTTGACGACGTGTTTGTTGTCGGAATAATGATTTCAGGTGGAGCTGGAATCCGGCAGTGGCGGTGGCGATGGGGGGGCGCCCGGTGGTGGTGGTGGTGGTGGTGGTGGTGGCACTGGACCACACCAGCAGCAGCAGCAGCAGTCGATACCAGCAGCCGCATTGCAACCACCATCACCATCACCACCGGAAAGCACCCCCATGGCAACGGCGTCCGCCGCTGCTGGAGGTGGAGGTGGCAGTGGAGGTGGAGGTGGAGGTGGAGGTGGAGGTCCGTACCGTCTGTCCTCGTCTGCGTGCGGTGTGATGGCGCTGGAGGCTGGTCGGTGCGCTTCCTTGCGACTGGAGGTGACGCGGGATTTGACGGAGGTGCCCTCGCTGCTGCTGCAGGTGAGGACATGTGCATACAGCTGTATGTATGTATGTATATATGTAAGTATGATGTACATAAACATCTTTTGATGTTTGTGTGGGAGAGGGTGTATGTGTGTGTGCCTGTATCACACTCACACTCACAAACACACGTTTTCTCCCCCCCCAGAAAAAGAATAAAACACACACCTTTCCCCCCTCTCCCACCCACCCCCCCCCGCGGGTTGTCCCCAGGTTGCCCTCCACTTCGTCGACCCCGTGGCCCGCTGTCGTGTCGTACGAGTTGTTACTCGCCGTATTGCGGTGGTTGAGAGTCGCGTGGAGTTCCTCCGCGGCGTCAACCCGGTGGCCGCCGCGGCCCTCCTGGGGAAGAGGGCGGCGCTGGACGCCAAGAAGGCGGGGGCGTTCAGGTGCGTGCATGTGTATGTGCGTGTGGGGGGGGGAGTAGGTGGGGGAGATGGAGGTATTAGGGTTTTTAATATATAGTCAGCCGCGAGGGTATGTATATATGTATATGTGTACGTATGTATGTATGAGTGCATGTATGAATGCATGTATGTGTGCCGGGGCATTCGGTTGGAAGGTTCGGGTGGATGTGTGACCGCTCGTCGCGTCGTCGTCGCCCTCCTACGTTGATCCTTCTTTTGTTTCTTGCACACGTTTCCCCCCACCCCCCTCTTCCCCTCTTGAATGAATGCTTCCCACTGCATATGATCTCCCCCTCCTCTCTATTGGTCAGTTCTACTTCTGGTACACTCTTGCCCTGGCAGCAGCTTCACTCGTTCACGTGGTTCGTCTTTCCCCCCATCCCCCCCTCCCCCGCCCCCTCCTTCCCTCCCTCGCTCCAGGGACGCCCGTAAGGCTGAGGAGGCCAGGTACTTGTTGGCGGCCCAGCTGGCGCTGGTGGCGACCCGCTGCGGGCAGGAGGGGCAGGTGCGTGTGTGTATGGGGCGGTGTGTTATTGGTGTGTATGTCGCGTCTGTATGTCCTCCTGCAGTGCAGTCAACACCACAGAACCCCACAAACCCCCCACCCGCCTCGGTATGCCACATGCACACACACACACACACACACACACACACACACATGAGTCTCTTGCTGTTCACCAGATGCCAGATGCCGCCGCCTCACCAGCCACCGCTCCGGGACAGCACTACTACCCGTTACATTCCCCTCACCCACCCCACGGTGTTGCTGCTTCCTAACGTCGTCGCCACAAAAAAAACTAAAATCTAATCTCTTTCTCCCATACCCGTACCCGTACATGCACGTAAACACATACACGCAGGCCAGTCGCGGCGTGTTGGGTTTTGGCGGTCGTAAGAGCTGGCAGTGGCCGGCTGAGCTGATGCCGCTGGCGTACGCGCTTTACCACATGCAACGGGGTCCGCTGCTGGGGCCGCCGGCGCCGCCGCCGCCAGGCACCTTCCCCGCCGCGGCCCACTCGCACCTCCACAGCTTGTGGGACTCGGATGCGCGCCTGGCGAACTTGAACGCGCTGCTGAGAACGGCCTGGGGTGACGCATATCGAGCCATGTCGCCGAAGCTGTATGTCGTACTGCCGTCCAGCGGCGGCGGAGGCGGCGGCAATCGTGCTAGCGCGCCGGCGCAGACGCCGCAGTTGGTGGCACTGCCGTGCGTTAGCCTGGCGGCAGTGATGGCGCGCACCGCGCCGCTGTTGCTTGACGTCGGGACTGCCGTACTGGTGAGCCCGACGGAGGAGCCGGGCCACGTGCATGGCGACGCCGATGGTGACGGCGGCGGCAGCGGGGGTTTGACGCCGGCGCTGCTCGCCGCGGCGATGGCGGCGGTAGCGGCCTCAAGCTCTTCGGCGACGGCTGCCATGGGGCCCCAGGGCGCCGTCGCCGCTGCCTCCGCCGCCGCCGTGTCGCGCTTTCCGGTGCCCTCAGTCGTCTTCACGCCGGGCGCCCAGGCCGGCGGCGGCGCTCTGGCAAAGAGATTGATTCCCGTACACTTGGACAGCTATCCCGACCAATGTATGCAGCACCCGCAGCTGCAGCAGCTGGGACTGGCGGTGGCGGCGCAGCTATCGAAGCAGTTGACGGAGGGCGCGGCGGCGACGGCAGCGGCGGCCGCCGCAGGGCTGCCGCCGGCGCAGGCGAAACAGGCTGCCGCGGCGGCGGCGAGCTTTGTGGAATGGTGTCGTACTGTACAAGTACGGCCGTTTCCGGTGCAGTAGTTATCAAAGTCATGCGCCAGCTAGGAGTGTGGGCGGACTGGCCTTTGCTCGCTCGCACGCTAGGTAGCTATCTAGGTTTTCTGGTCAACAGTAGTTTTACAATTCTCAAACTCTGTTCCGAATCCGCTGTCTCTCTGTCTGTCTACCTGTCTGTCTCTCTGTCTGCCTGTCTGTCTGTCGTATGGTAACGGTCACGAGGACTGGAAATGTTCTCTCAAATTATTGTTAGCTGAGGGTCGATGGTGAGTATGGCTGAGGGTGTGTATGTATGTATGTATGTCGTTACAGGGTGGTATAGCTTCACCAGCGGCCCCCTTTCCCTTGGAGGCAGTTCCCTGCTCTCCCCTGCGAGAGGGGCACGCTAATCCGAGGGTGTGTATGGCGACGTATGGGTATATGTATCTGTGGGGCTGGGTCTGTTCTGTGTCCCTCCCGCGCGCTCGGTCTGAAGTGCGGAGTGATCAGGTAACATGGTGTTGGTGTCGGTGGTGGTCAGTGTACTGCGAATCGCATCATAAAGGGTCTAACCACAGCTACGTCGATGACTGAACGGCTGAACGGGAGGCTACGGGGCGCCGCTGCTGCTCGGCAGATGCAGTGTGTTTAAGTGGGGGGGGGGGGAGGGGATAGGGGGGTTGGATGGGTCTTGCCCGTGGCGGTGGTGGTGGTGGCGATGGTGGTGGTCTGTAGAGAACAGGTTGCGGTGCGGTATGGCGGTGGAGATTGCTGAGCAGGGGAGAACGATGTGTTGCTGATATTTATAAGATATCTATCTCGCCGTGTGTATGACTTGTGTTACCTAATAGATCTTGACCCTCATCGGCCCTCCGGCTGATCTCATACCGACTCTGAACATTGGCATCATGATGGGGAGAAGATGAAGATATTTTTCTACACTTTAAATGCCAGTATATACAAACGTACATACATACATACATACATACATACACTGCCTTGAAGAAAATACATGCACGTCTGCTTGCGCGCGCGCACATGTGTATGTGTGCGTGTGTGTTTTTCCTCGCCTTTCCCTTCCTTTCCCTTCCTCCGAGCCCCCAGGGCGGTTGCCGTGGAAAAAACCGCGTATGCATGGGTTCAAACCCCCACGAGACAAGAAAACACAGAGCCCGCGTCACAGCTCCCCTATTACAGTCCACCCACCACAACACTCCCATAAATATCACCCTTTTCGTCCTTTGGCAACAAATACCACCGCCAAACTGTTTCAGTTACTGTTACAGCAACTAATAACTACCTGCAACTAATTCTGCTGCTGATACTGCTAGTATAACGAATATAACTGTTTCCACTAGCTCACCACCGAGGAGATGGAACCCAGTCCGGGAGGCCCCGACGGCCGCTGCCGCCGCCAGCGGTGGTGGTGGTGGCGGCTGCCCGCGCCGCCTCTTCCGCCATCATTCGCAACGTCAGCGCAGCGGTCCAGTGGTAATCCCGTACACCACCCACCCCCTCCATCCCCTTGCGAGTCAGCCGCGTGGGGGGAACTTTGCCGAACGTGTCGTAAAACTCAAACACCGTGCCATGGGCGGATGCCGCCGCCGCTGCAGCGGCAGTCTCGTGATGCCCAATAGGGCCGGAGTGGGATTGATGGTCGTGGTGGTGGTGGTGGTGGTGATGATGTTGGTCATCGTCTTCGTCAGCGCCGCCGTCGTACCATTTTCGTACTTCCGCTATGGTACTGTGGGGCGGGGTGCGGGTTACGGTGGTTGCGAGGGCAACGTCGTGTGCGTTAAAAAGGAGTACATGTGTACATACAAACATACACACATACACGGAACATACAGATACATATGCATTTCGTGATAAGCACCCCCATCACATAACATCCAATCACAGCATAGCAGAAGATGTAAGGCGGTGGTGGTGGTGGTGGTGGTGGTGGTGGCGCCGGCAGATATGGGAGGTGTGGGAGGTGTGTGTATCTTCCCCGTATCGTACCCACCTCCGTACAATCCAGCTAGCAAGTCGGTCGCACTCTCGACACGCCGCTTGCTCTCTCAGCCCCATCGCCACCAGGTAGTTCATGTTGACCCACATCGGCCCGCGCCACATGTCCAGGGAGGGAGTCCTTCCCCCCATCCCCACCCCCGCCTCCTCCTCCTTCCCGCCAACGTCAGCATCATCGCCACTCATCGCCTCCATGTCGGCGACAGCGACAGTGGGGAGCGGTACGGGAGTGGCGAAGGAGTTTGTGTCCTGCGGAAGAGGGACCAAGAGGGGAATGGGTTTTGGGGGGTTTTGAAATTGGGTTTTATATTGGGTTTTCAATTTGGGTTTTGAAAGTTTAAGACCCAACCTGATTTTAAACAGCTGGGGCGACTGATGGCAATCAAATCCAACTATGATAAACTGACTAACGAACAACAGCAACCGACATAACCACCTTGAGGTGCGCCAGCAGGCCGTTAAGATGCTCTTGAGGCAACCGCCCCGCCAGCAGCGGCAGTAGCCCGGCTGACGTCAGCAGCCCGCTGACTTGGCGGCGCGGCTGATGAGCTCCGAGAAGCGGCAGCAGCAACCCCGAAACCACGCCCCCGCCGTGCAGTACATCGCCGTACATTCGCCGTTCGGAGTTCCAGGTATTGTCCACCAGAGCCGCCGTCACGGCGCGGCTGCGATTGGTCCAGTGACCAGCCTCCTGGTACCGTCAAAAGAGGTGGCGGTTAGCAGTTGGTCGGTAATCAGTTGGCGGTTAGGCTGAAACCCCAAAGCCCCAACCCTCAACCAAAGCCCTTAAAACCCCAATTTGAACTTCAAAACCAGTTTTAAAACCTAAGTAAAACCTCAAAACCTAAAACCATGAAGCCCGAACTAAAACCCTAAAACCCACACTGCTAGACGATGCGGCCTACCTGCTCCCTGCCCAGCTCCCTCATCATTCGGCCGACCAGCTCCATCTCCCTCGCCACCAGAGCACATAAGTCCACGGACACCAAATGCGGCGTACACACCACACACGTACCGACCCGCGGGTCACCCGTCCATTTCCGAATCGCAGCGCCCAGCCGGGTCGCAAGACCCACTCCCAGACCCACGCTCCAGCTTTGGGCCTGGATTCCTCCCGAAGAAGCTGAACTGGATCTGGATTTGGATCCGGATTTGGATCTGAATTTCAGAGAGCTGCTGTCGAATCGTGGGGAGTTGTCCATGCCGCTTTCAAAACCGTGGACGTAAAAGTAGGTGAGACCGCCGTCCCGGGAGCGGTGCCTTGACAGCCACTCTAAGAACCTGCGGAAGGGCCAGTGAGCGAGAGGAGCGTGTGAAGGGTCCAACAATCCCATGGAGGTCCCCTTAGTAGAGATGGGGGGAAGGAGGTGGGGAAGGAGGGGGGGAAGGAGGTGGGGAAGGAGGTGGGGAAGGAGGTGGGGAAGGAGGTGGGGAAGGAGGGGGGAAGGAGGGGGGAAGGGGGGGGGAGGAGGGGGGGGAGGAGGGGGGGAAGGAGGGGGGGAAGGAGGGGGGGAAGGAGGGGGGAAGAAAAGGAAGAGGGGGTAGAGGGCAACAAAAGGGGAGAAAAGGGGGACCAAACTAAGGGAACAGGGACCATCAGGGATTCCATATCTGGATCCCCCCCCCCACACACACACACACACACACACACACGTCTCACCCCCCCCCCCACCCTTCACCCGCCAATCCGATTTATCTCCCACCTCAGATTTAACCTTGTTGCACGAGTTACATACATACATACATAGGAAATATCGGTCACCTGGTAATCCGAGGTAACGCCCACTCCAGTCGTCGCTTATCCCGGGAAAACAAATAGTTGTCCCAAACTGCGGCGGCAAGCAGCGGCGGCTGAGTCAGCTGGCTCTCCAACTTGCCGCCGCCGCCGCCGCCAGCACCGCTGTCGTACACGCCGTCGTCGTCGCCGCCGCCACGGCTGCAGATGTGCGGGATGAAGCCGTCGGGTTGTTGGCAGCGGAGGAAGCCCTGCGGGGCACGAGGAAGGCCCCCCCCCCCTTCCGTGTATGTATGTATGTATGTGTGAAACAGGGGGGGGGATATCTTCGCCCGTGGCAGCTACCCTGCGAAACCCTGCCTTTCCCGGTATTTCGGGGCACCCTCATCCAGTCACCCTAGTCAACTTCTCAGTGGATTGCGCTCAGGTTCCGCACCCACCACCAGCATCCAACGACATCTGCCGGGTCGCCAGCGATCCAACTCCATTCCTGGTCGGCTCGCAGGTCAACTTTCTCCCAGGTCACCACCGTCCATCCACTAGGGGCACTTTACCTTCCACCATCGGAAGGATTTTGACCCTGACAGGTCTCGATCCCGGGACCTCCCGGGGGCAATGGTCGCGCGTTACCAGTAGTGCCTAACCTACGTATATGTATGTATGTATGTATGTATTGAGGGAGATAGCGGGAACAGACAAAACACACACAACCAATTCAGTTTTAAGCAGATAACAAATAGTCCATTAAACTACAAAGTAATAAACACACACACACAAACACACGAAGTGGTGCGAACGCTAAGACGTGTGCCGTGTTCCCCTCCAATACACACCCACACCCCCTCCCCCCCACAGACACACCCCGGGT